AAAATGCAAATTAATACGGAATAAAATTACCTTTTATTATGCACATTTTCTGATTTAGTTCAAGTGCAATATGGCAACACTTTTAAAAAAGCGCAAAATCTACATAAACACCGATAAAGTCTCGTTATCTGCAATATCACGTACGCTGAGCAGAAGAAGTTCTTTATTCAAATTTCACATTACATCCATTCGCACAGTGCCAGCTGCTTGGGTTTTAAAAGGCAATGTGTTACCTTTCGAATCAATCGTATTGAAAGTTTATGTGCAATGTCTCCTTCTTTAGCCGAGCGTGCGTTACTGGTCAACTTCTTTTACCTCAGCCAGTGCAACGCGTCAGCCGCTCTCCGTGCTATTAGAAAGCACAAAAAAATGCGTAAAGGTAACGGTCCTGTGTCAGTTAATGGGCTAAACGCAATGGTTGCGACGTTTGAGAAAACAGGTTCTCTGAAGGTTAAGTCAGGCAGAGGGCGAAAACCTGTACCACAGGATACAATTGAAACAGTTGCCACGGCGATTGTCGACAGAGGACCAGACAATATTGCTGCCACCTCTAGCGCTCGTGGAGTAGCTCGGAATATGTATATGCCTTACAGTACGTTATGGAAAATTTTACGAAACATTATCAACTTCTATCCGTACAAGATCAGCCGTGTACAGGAGTTACTGTACCCCGACCATGATAAGCGATTGACTTTTGCTCTCACCTTTCTTGCCAGAATGGAGGTGGATGATGCTTGGCCGTGGAAAATCTTATGGGGAGACGAGGCCCACTTTTACCTAAATGGAACTGTGAATACCCAGAACTGCCGAATTTGGGATGACAAACCACCACATGCAGTCACAGCAATTCCCTTACATTCACCAAAGATAACTGTTTGTTGTAGGTTCACAGCGGAATTTAGGTCCATTCTTCTACGAGAACATTACCCCGACAGGACCGGAAACCTGTTCTGTTACCGGAGAGAAATATCGCCACATGTTGAACACCTTTGTCATTCCGGCACTTCAGCAAAGACAATGCTTGGGGGAATCATTTTCATGCAAGATGGAGCCCCTCCACACTTTGCTGTAATACAGAAATTCACAACAGAAAGAGTCATTAGCCGCTACTTTCCAACTGCATGGCCACCTCGGTCGCCTGATCTTACCCCATGCGACTTCTGGCTATGGGGTTACCTTAATTCCAAGGTCTATCAAGGAGTGGTCCAGGATTTGGCTATGTTGAAGGATAACATATCACGGACTGTACGGGAGATTCCTGCAGACATGTTACTTTCTGCTGTTGTGCATACTGTGCACAGAATGCAATATGTGCTCCACAACAACGGCAGCCACATTGAACCTCATTTGAATGCAAAATAAAAGGTAATTTCCGTATTGATTTGCATTTGTAAACACTCTATTTTCTATTACATAGCGCCAAATATTCCCCTAGCGGTGACTTATGGAACTAATTTGTTTTTTTCGCGGAATCCTTCGTCCCCCGTCTTGTTTAATCTTCCTACAAAATGTGGCGTCATTCTCGCAAATAGATCGCGCTACAGAACACTGTGAGCACTGTCAGTTTAATTCTGGCCACCCGGTATATATATATATTATATATATATGCATAAATATCCCCTAACCAGGCTCCCAATTATGGAAGTGTTTTAAATGACGTAAATATGTCAAATTTAAAAAAAAATAATTCGGACAAATAACGAAATCTAACTTTTAAAGCGGTTTTTCAGTTCATATACATGAGAAAGTTTTACACCCGCTATGAAAAAATAAAATTATAAGAAGACTGACTACCGTACGCCAAAAACTGACCAGATATTTCATTTTTAATTTGCCTTGAGGATTCGGTTAATTAAGTTAGAATAATTCAGGGAAACAAGTTTAAATGAAGTATAGCAAAAAATGCATAATTTAATAGGCCGTACAAGCAAGTCATGTAGTGTCTACATCAGCCTTTTTTTAATGTAAATGCGAAGGATTGATGATTACCTTAAAATACTTTTTAAATGTAAAGATACGCATACTAAATGAGTACTATTTTTAAGAGGCATTTTAAGTCCGTAGATCATATATTTAAGTTAATACTGTTATTTCTACAATAATTACATAGTAAAGTCATGCTTTAGAGATTTATCACAAAACTGCCAGAAATCGCATTCAGATTACCAATACAAACGATAAAACAATAAAATATATACACACATATATACGAGGCAGTACCCCTCGTATGTTGCCAAATTCACATTAAATTCAGTTAAATTTCTAAAAAAAAATGGTGCTACTTTGGTAGACGGTTGCACGGATTTTGGCGATTTTTCTTTTGGCGAGTAATACAACTTATGGTAAACCCATTGCTGGATAAGTTATTTATGGTAACCGATATTTTGTTGTCATTTTATTTAAAAAATAATGCGTTTTATTATGTATAACTTCCGTGTTTTAAATATTATTTATGGCTTCTAAATATTAAAAATCAATTTAATTTTACATTTTTATTTGAAATAAAAATTTTGTTGTTTATAATATTTTATATAATTTTATGTTGTTGATGACGTAATGACGTCACCTTACTTAAAAAGTAATTGGTTTTATTAATATCTATAAATTTAATCTAATGTTTTAAACATTATTTATCGCTGTTAAATATTAAAATACAATTTAATTTTGCATTTGTTTTAAAAATGATTTTATTATGAATGATTATTTAAATAATTTTAATTCTATGCGTGATGCAATCAGCTCCCTGATTGGTTACGGAATATTTGTGCATTACCGCGCCATTTTAAAATTTTATTATTCATCTCTTCGAATTCCTCAGATTTCAAATGGAATGGATATCTCTGTTTCGAAGATGAATGTTGTTATTGGTAATTATCAAGAATTATAGGTATTGGAATAAAAAAAATTGCCCTTCGAGACCTTATTTTGGCCAACCTGTCTTTCCTCATCAAAGATTTATTTATAAATTGTTAATAGTGTCAGAGGAAATTTATTTTAAATTTTTTAAGGAAACCTAGCTAATTGCTTCTTCAATGAAGTGCGAGATATGTGGATAACAGATGAAGATGGTTAAAAGAGCCAATTCAATTATGATTTCGACTTTTTTTGTGGTACTTATCAATAAACTAGAGGTTAAATTACTCAAAAAAATGTAAGTACATATTTTTCTTTTATTTTATAATTGTATACTTCAATTTTTGTTAAGAATTTAATACACTATTTTAAAAAATTGCTGTAAATAATTATTGTCACATATGTTTTAATGTTAATTATATTTTATATAACATATTTTAAAGTATTTAATTTAATAATATTCTAATTCTTTTAAATGTTGGTAGGATGGTTTTTAATTCGATATTCAATTTCACTAATATTTTAATCTAATTAAACGTTGGCACAATGTTTTTATAGCGGTGTTTTTATTCTCTTTTTTGCTATATGAAAGTAATAATAGCCTTACTTTAGTATTTTATACTCATAGTAAATGTATTTATTTACACTTGCCTGCCATCTTAAAAAACGACATTTTGGTGCTACTTTGGTAGACGGTTGCACGGATTTTTGGCGATTTTCCTTTGGCGAGCAATACAACTTATGGTAAACCCATTGCTGGAATAGTTATTTATGGTAACAGATACTTTGTTGTCATTTTATTTAAAAAATAATGCGTTTTATTGTGCATAAATTCCGTGTTTAAAATATTATTTATGGATTTTAAATATTAAAAATCAATTTAATTTTGCATTTTTTATTTGAAATAAAATTTTATGTTTATTTATTGTTTATCACATTTATGAAATTTTATGTTGTGGATGATGTAATCAATGACGTTACCTTACTTTAAAAGTAATTCGTTTTAATATGTATAAATTTAATCTAATGTTTTTAAACATTATTTATGGCTCTTAAATATTAAAATACAATTTAATTTTGCATTTTTTTAAAAAATGATTTTATTATGTATGAATTTTTAAATAATTTTAATTCTAGCCGTGATGTAATAAGCTCTCTGATTGGTTATAGAATATTTGTGCATTAACGAGCTGTAATCAGCTCCCTGATTGGTTACTGACAATTCGTGCATTTCCCCATTCCCCGCCTTTTTAAAATTTAATTATATCTTCGAATTCCTTCAAAGATATCTTCAAAGATGTTATCGAAATTATGATTCTGATTTTTATTGTGGTACTTATCAGTAAAGAATAGGTTAAACACTCAAAAAAATGTAAGTACATATTTTTCTTTTATTTTATAATTGTATACTTCAATTTTTGTTAAAAAAATTAATACACTATTTTCAGAAATTGCTGAGATAATTATTGTCCATATGTTTTAATGTTAATTGTATTCTATATAACGTATTTTAAAGTATTTGAATTTAATAATATTCTAATTCTTTTAAATGTTGGTATGATGGTTTTTAATTCGATATTCAATTTCAGTAATATTTTAATCTAATTAAACGTTGGCCCAATGTTTTTATAGCAGTGTTTTTATTCTCTTCTTTGCTATATGAAAGTAATAATAACCTTACTTTAGTATTTTATACTCATAGTAAATGTATTTATTTACACTTGCCTGCCATCTTAAAAAACGACATTTTCAACAAAAAATTAATCCATTACTTTTAACGATATTTATTTATTTATTTATTTTTAAGTTTCGAATACTTTACTATGCGTAAAAACAGCGTTTTTCAAGATGGCTGACGTTTTTTAAAAATCGCGCCAACGTAAACCGCCAAAAATCCGTGCAACCGTCTACCAAAGTAGCACCGACATTTTCAACAAAAAATTAATCCATTACTTTTAACGATATTTATTTTTTTTAAGTTTCGAATACTTTACTATGCGTAAGAACAGCGTTTTTCAAGATGGCTGACGATTGTAAAAATCGCGCCAACATAAATCGCCAAAAATCCGTGCAACCGTCTACCAAAGTAGCACCAAAAAATTACAATTTAATTTTTACTGATATCCATATTAAAAAAAATAGCATACCTTTGATTACCACCAGTGGAAGGCACTATTTTAACAAATATGTCTGGACAAACGAATCGGAAATGAGATAAACGCGGCCATTTTTTTACGTCTCCTAAAAAAAAAAAGAAAGAAAGAAAGAAAGAAAGAAAGACAGCAGTGAAAAAAAAATCGGGACGGATGAGAAATTCACTTGAACGGATGTTCACAGCATTCTGCAATATCCTTTCAAAACAAGAAAAAACAGTTTCCTTTAATCATGGAATCTTTGCTTTCCTACGACGGGGGAGAGATAGCATAACCCCTCGGTCTATAAATAGATTCGCTGACAAAAAGACGATCCGATTTTTAGAAGCAGTAATGAGGTCTCCTAACGATTTATAACAACGTCACCATAAAAACTCATAAAAATACCTATTTTTAAAGCCAAAAGCAATTTTGGCTATTGGCTTTTGCCCTTTAAACAAAACTTTTTTTATTGCTCAGGAACAGGTTTTGCAAGTTTTTATTACAGGAACAAAAACATCCTGATAAAAAGAGTACTTCTTTCCAAACATTTCTATTCTCAAGAAATGAAAAGTAGCACGTTCCTTTGTATTTTAAGTTTTACACCTTTCTGATTCATTTTTGAACTGGCAACAAATGACCACTCCGTAAAAAACAATTAATTTATGGAACCTTTTTTTGGCAATAATAAAGTTTGATTTGGCTTGGTTTAATTGATTATGGCAAAGTACACTAGGGCTGTCTGCCTAAGGGATGGGATGCCTTCATGGAGGTCTATCTATGGGAAACTGGCTCGTATACCCGTTACACATGCAGAAAACCACAAAAACGCCTATGCTGCAAGCCCGTTCACCATGAATCGAACCCAGGTCGATACTACCAGTGTTCAGTGATTCTATCGCTGGGTTGCTGGTGGACCTGACATAAAGTGACCACATTTTCATTCAGACAAAACGGGACAAATGGAATGAAATGAGAATTATAATTTAGTTATGAAAGCAGACCAATAATTCAAAAAAATATATTTTATTATATACATTCATATACTTGTCTATAAATATACAAAAATATATTATTATTAACTATTGGTAACTACTCGTATAAAAAATATTTGTAAAAAAACAATAATTTGAATATTACACGTTTTTTAATTAATTTAATATTTTATTTAAAAAAATTATGATTTTCTTTCACGGTCATATTTTTATCCGAGTGAATACTTTGCAATAGATTCGGATCATTTATTAAAATGTCATGAAATTTCTCGCATGAATTGGTCAAATTAGATTTTAGGCTTAATATAGATTTTTTAGTTTTAATGTTCAACTGTATTTTTCCGATTGTCCATATTTTATTGATACTAGAAAAACGCGTTCTGTTGCTTCATTTCCTGGAAGGGAGAGCGTGTGTTCTACAATTTTCAAAACACCTCATCAAAAAAATCATTTTTGCAAATATTATTTTTCGGAAAATGGTTACTAATATATTAAAAAGATTTTTCCACATATTCCCATAAAATCTCCTTCCCAATGAAAGTTTTTAATATCCTCTTAATAGCACCTTGTTCTTCCAACCTAGGGATGCCCTTTCAAATAACTAAAGGAATGTAATCGTTATCAATTCTTTCTTGCAATTTTGTTTTTAAATTATTGATTTCATTTGACACTTGCATAATTAAAATTTTGTCCCCTTCAATAATTTTCACAGCATTGTGAAATAATGTAGCTTGGTTTGGATGAACTGAAGCTAAATTTGTGATGTGTCATTTTCAAAAAAGAGCTGAGGTATTCTTGGACATTTATCTTGTGATAAAAAGTATGATTTTAATGGTTCATGTATTTAAAAAATATTTTCTACAGCTGGGCCATCGTGTTTTGCTGTAACCAATAATTCTTTAATATTCGATTTCTGCGCTTTCACAAAATTCTTCAAACTTTCAATATGCACAGCATATATATAAAAATATGAATAAATTTTTGCAATAATATTTTCAACATCCACTGGAAGCAAATCAGATGCTGTTTGAATAGTATTGTGTAATATGTGCACTGCACAACCTACTTGAATATTTTTTTGGTTCAAACGTTCGTTAAGTTTCATAAAATCGTTATTGATGCTTCTTCTAGCTTTTCCACCAAAATTTACGTTAGTGTTATCCTTAGAATAGGTAATAATTTTATTGTTCAAATTATTCTTTTTTAAAATAGTACTTATTGAATCAAAAATTCTTTGTGAAATTTCACCCGACAATGAAACAAAATCTATTATTCTAATTTTAATTTCTGTTTCTGGATCAAAAAGTCTAATAATTGTGAAAAATAATTTTTAATTTCTGTTTCTGGATCAAAAAGTCTAACAATTGCGGGAAATAATTTTAAGTCTTTGTGGTTGGAAGCATCATAATATATGGGTATAAATGTGCATTTATCTAATTCTTTCTGCAGTTGCGAAAACGAATATGGTTAAAAAACATTACAAATAATTCCTTCGGGTTTTGTCCTTGCACATGCAAATTTTTTGTCGTACAATGTTTTGATCATTTGCAACGTACAATCAATTGATCTGAAACTTTGATTGCGGTTTATGGTAAAATAGCCCTTCAGCTAATGTTTCTTCATTAACAATACAGGTTCCTTGACGAGACATAACAACAATGATCGAACAACACCGAGTAAATCTAACTCGCTACATCGCCTAATTTAGTTTACTCTGCATGCATTTTATATGTTTTTTTATTTCTTTATATTCACTATAATAATTAATAAATAATAGGTAATATATTTTTACAGTACATTTAAAATAAGAAATGCAGATGTTTTCTAAAAAGCGGGACATTTTTAAAAATCGGTGGGACCTGGGACTGTCCCACCAAAATCGGAACGTGTGGTCACTTTAACCTGGCAACAATAAGACCAGAAGCTGAAAGAGGAAGTTCCTCATGTATGAGAAAGTCCCCCACCCATTTATAAACAAATATATAAATTTTGCTATTGAATTTAATGAAATCATTTAAAGGAAAAACCACACTCACTATCTATTGAAATTCATCAGACATGCTTTATCAAATACCTCCAGTTGTAAGAATTTGAAATTATTAAAATAAATAAAATTTTGCAGGTTTTTAAGAAAATTTTTATTACTTAATGGATACTGAAAAGCTATTCAATTGCTTACAGGATAATTTCCATATTCTGAAAAGTGCTGAAGAAAAATTTAAAAATAAATAAATATTTCATAAACAAGAAAAACAGAGATTTTCTTCTACCAGAAAAAAAAAAAAAAAATCTATAAATTTCATTGAAATGTTTAATTTTACAATGAACATTTGCAATAGATATAATAGATTTTGATTGAATAAAATGTTCGATTTTACTTAACTCAAGAAAGAATATGCACTTTTTCTAATTACAGGAAACTAAAATCAGTATAAATTTCTTTAAAATGAATAAAAATGATCATTATTTTTCAGAATCTTAACACCTTTTTAAAAGCATCTTCAAATTATAACTGCATCCCTCTGTCCTTTGAAAAAAAAAATAAAAACGATGTTTCAAATAAAACTCAACAATAAAAACAAATGTACGAGGGCTATCCAGAAAGTAGATTACGTTTTGGAATAAAAAAATAAACAAAGTATAGGAAACAAATTTTATTATATACAGATGAAAGCCACACTCAAATACTACTTTTCTACATAGTCACCATACAAATTAAGGCATTTATCGTAGCGATGTACGAGCTTGGAAATTCCTTCGTCGAAAAATTCGGCCGCCTGCGCCTTCAACCACTTCGTTACCTCTTCTTGCAGCTGTGCGTCGTCATCAAAACGCTGCATAGCCAGCCACTTCTTCATTGCTGGAAATAGGTGGAAGTCGCTCGGTGCCAGGTCGGGACTGTACGGCGGATGAGGAAACAACTCCCACTTAAAAGATTCAAGAACTTTACGAGTGATATTTGCCGTGTGGGCCGGGCGTTGTCGTGAATCAACAAGATCTTAGAGCTCAACATTCTCTGCGCTTTGTTTTGAATTGCTCTTCTGAGTTTTTGGAGAGTTTGGCAATACCTTTGAGAGTTTATTGTAGTGCCTCTTTCCAGGAAGTCCACCAAAATTACACCTTTTCTGTCCCAAAAAACAGTCGCCATCATCTTCCTTGCCGACATTGTTTGCATGCATTTCTTGGGTTTTTGGGGAGAACTTGTGTGCCCCCACTGCATTGATTGCAATTTCGTTTCAGTTTCACAGTTCACATGTTTCACCCATGTTTCGTCACCAGTAACGATGCGATCGAGTAAAGAGTCACCATCCTTATGGTAAGCGAGCGTCCAAAAAGTTCAACGCTGCAGCCATTCGCTGATTTTTGTGGGTCCTCTGTCAAGATTTTTGGAATCCATCTTGCACAAAACTTGTGGTAACCAAGCTTTTCGCTGATGATTTTCGTGCAACAAACTTCGCGAAATTTGTGGAAAACTCAAAGAAAGTCCCGTTATTGTGAATTTCGATTTTCACGGACTTTAGCATCGACTTTTTCGAGAAGTTCGGCGGTCACTATGCTGGGTCTCCCACTTCGATCTTCGTCGTGAACATTGGTTCGGCCATTTTGAAATCTTATGACCCACTGACGCACTCCACCTTCAGTGATAATGTTGTCCCCATACACTTCACGAAGCTGCCGATAGATTTCTATCGGTTTACAGTTTTTTGCAGTCAGAAACCTTATTACTGAGCGCACCTCGCAGCTCGCGGGATTTTCAATTAACGCAGACATTTCAAACCGTCACAGTATCTGAACGAAGCACAGCACGAACCTCTCACTAGCACGGCTAGATGCAGACTGAGCTGCGCAACGCTCTGACCCCAAGATGGCCGCGCTAGCCCCGCCCCTAGCGGACACAGACGGAAACGTAATCTACTTCCTGGATGGCCTACGTATTAACCACTGGGTGAAGTGTTTAATAATAATAATAATAATAATAAAACTCACAGATATAATTTAAAAAAAGTGTTGCTATTGCATAAAATAAAATATTGTTATCTATCACACACTGACTTGTGTCATTTTGCAAAGCATAAGCTATTAATTCAA